ACCACGCCAAGCCGGGTAATAGACTGACTGAAATGTTTCTGCGAGTTGTTGTAGTTTTAAGATGCTGCTTGCTGACCACTCACATTGCTCGTGAAAGCAAATCGAATCTTCGCGTCCCTTACATCGCATGCAGGGAACGGGGGAGGGAGCGAAACTAGACGTGGCTTGTAGCTTCAGAACTGAATTAACTGGAGCACTGGAACTTTTCGAGCATGGTCGACGACTGTGTTTGGGCTCGTGCACGTGGAAACAGCTTCTAAGTTTAGCTGACACGTACGGGTGGGTGGTGCTTGGCATGACTGAGCACGGCCCACAACCACTTTTAGCCAGGCACACACAAAAACAACCTTCACGCCCCCGCCCCCTCCCCCTCCCCCCGTACTTCACGTACGGACGCGTACCAACCTGACGTCGACAGTTTTGTAACTTTGTAAGCGCAGCAGTTATACTGTCAAAATTATTTGAGCATGGCTTACAATCGGGTTTGTTGGGAATCCTTTGTCACAACGTGGGTGGCCATCCTCAAATTGTGCAAAGTATCATACCAGCCGGAGAAGCAGTGTTGCTGACAGCGAATAACTACGGAGCAGAACTGTGCGAAAAAAAAAGAAAAATCACGTTCGCAGTGGCATGTCTCGTCAAGTTGATTTCTTCAAGCACTGATAACTTTTTTATTTCTTCGAACACTGACAACTTGATTTCTTCAAATACTGATTAAAAGCCCGAAGCATGCCAACGTCCCGGAACTTTTTTAGTGAAATTTTGGAATTTTTTTAGCGTGTAAACCTGCATGGCTTCTCGCTTCAAATTTTTGTTAAAACAAGAAAAAGTCAAAAACGTTGGCGTACTTGTGTACAATTATGATTCTCGCAGCTTTCCGCGCATTCTGTGTCGTCCGATCGACTTTTGACACTTACAAGAACTGCGAGAAATGTGTTCGGCTATTACTGAACCTAACCGCTCAAATTTGATCCCCTCCGTTTACTATTTTTAGATGATTCCGAGGCATCTCTCTAGCTTAACAGCCCTTCCGCTGCTGCTGCACGATTATCGTCCATGCATTGCTCGCTGCAGCCCAATTTTGTTGGTAACAGTATCGTTGTTTTCTAATAGTTAACTGAGCCTGAGTCCTTTCGATTATGAGTACCCGCTCTTGCATAAGATACAAGAAACTAAAAACTCAGTGAAAGCTGGCAAAAGTAAGCTTACCAATCTTCACTCAGCATCAAATTCCTTGCTTAGCACTGTAAGTGCATGCTTATCTCTTTTTTCCAGTCACTACCTCCAAACAAGTCAGCTTCTTTCCAGCCACTATTCCAGTGCCCTCACGATCCCCTGTGACTCAAAACAGCACTTCTTGTCCTTATGTATATATATATACATATGTATATTAGCATATATATATATATATATATACTCATT